GTTGGGGGTGGGGCCTCGTGGGAAATCCCCACCACACTGTGACACTTGATATTTGCTGGCTCCGAATTCCCCCACGCTCTGCCCCTCCTTGCTAGTGGCATTCAAGCCACTTCTTGGAAGCTGTCTCCACTGCTGGGACATCTCAGAGGCCTTTTGGAAGAGGATTTTGTGCCTGCAAGCAGTTCTCCATGTCAAAATGTCTAACATGTCCTTGAACTGTCTGAGAGCACAGGATGATGAACCTGCTGGTGAACAGAGATGACACTGTCCCCCAGGTGTATGGTGATGTCACAGCTGAAGGTCCGGGACACACAGCAGACACTGTCTACCTGAAGGGCTACAGGTCTCAAGGGACCCGGAGCCCGGCCCTCCCTGGGCGCGCGGGGGTTAGAACGCAGCACCATGACCTATCGCAGCCACCGCAGCAAGAGATGGATCCCCGGCCAGGGAGGGACCCCCAGGGTGCAACAGACCCTCACCTGACCCGCCTGCTGCTCCCCTCAGCAGTGGATTTCAGTCAATCCGCCTGGTTTGCTCTCCACGCTGTCTCTGGGGAGTCCTCTCACCCCCCCGCACCTCTGGCTTGCACCCTAGTTCTGAACATATGAATAAATAACTCTTAAAAAAAAAAAAAGAATTCCAAAGAGCCCAGGAGCCCACACCGCTACTACCTTGCCTGTTGGGACATTGTGCCAGTGAGAATGTGGGGGCTGGAGTGTCCCCAGATAATCAGCGCCAGAGTGGGACAGCCCCAGACAGCCTGGCTCCTCCTCTGAGTCCTTGCAGGTGTGTGGCCACCGGGAAGAAGGAGGGGAAAGTGAGGAGGCGGGCCGCACTCCGAGGCGGGCACCCTGCGCAAAGTGAGGTCTCTGAGCGCCTGTTAGAAAATTCCGGAAAAAATGAAAAGAGGAGAAAATAAAGGGAGAGGACAAAGGTGGGGTGAGGAAGAGAGTGAGGGGGGGAGGAGGAGGGGGCGGGGGAGACGCTCTAGAGATGCCAAGAGGTGCCGCCCGCGCTGAGGCCCCGCAGGGTGGTTCCGGAAGCAGAGGGCTTTCCACCCGGAGCCCAACAGCCTGTCCCCACCGGAGGCCGGGCGCTTGGCCTTGGTCTCGGCTGAGGGGAGAGAAGGGAGCTCCCACCTGCGTCCCAAGCACTGTACGCGAGTCTGCGACTCCTCACAAGCCACGTCCCTCTTTAGAAACTTTGAGTCTCCCTTGTCCCCGAAAGAAACCCTAGAGTCAGTATCAAGGCCCTCCTGCATCTGACCTGAACTGACCTGAACTTACCTTCTTTAAAAAATGAAGATCTGGGGGGCCCTCCCTGGGGCGCAGGGGGTTAAAGCACAGCACTAAGAAGCTGAAGCCGCTTCCGCATGAGTTTGATCCCCGCCTGCCCCGGAGGTGACCACATGGCGCGGCAGACCTCTCCTGACCCGCCCGCTGCCCCCCTCAGCAGTGAGCTTCGTCGATCTGCCTTCGTCGGTCCCCTCTCTCTCCGCTGCAGAACCTCACTGCTCGGAGCAAGAGTGGCAAGCTGTGCGCTGTCAGCACTCCCCGCGGGCGCCTCTGGAGCGCAGGAACCGAGCTGGGTGAGGAGGCTGCTGCCTTTCTGCGTCTCTCGGCTTTTTCTCTTCTGATTTCTGATAACTTCTGCTGGTAGCCCGTTTCATGGCTGTACCCCACTCTGTCTCTGGTGAAGCCTCTCACCGCCCCTGTACCTCTGGCCTGTACCCCAGTTCTGTGTGCATAAATAAACAAATCTTTAAAAAACTAAATTAAAAAATAAAGATCTAGTTCACATCACACCCCACTGTTTCAGTGGATTTAGTAATTCCCTGCGTCATATAACCCTCACAGCTGACTTACACTCGGTCGTGTAGATCAGCCCAACCTCATACCCGTGAGCCACTGCCCAGCCCCCTCCCCAACCCCTGCCCTGGTAACCGTGAACCTACGTTTGTCTCTGTGAATCTGCCTGTTCTGAATGTTGCACATAAATGGGATCACAGTGTCCAGGGTTTCGCTCTGGAGTTCTCTCCTCTCATCCTTGCTATGAATGTCAGTCCGTTTTCCTTTTCATGGCTGAGTAATATTCCATTAGCTGTTGCTACCACATTTTGCTCACCCATTATTACTTGATAGAGATCTGCGATCTTGAGTATTTCCCACCTTTTGACACTCACCAACAGTTGCACTATGAACACATGTGTACAAGTGTATGTGTGGCCGTGTTTTTAGCTCCCTCGGGAGCACACCTCAGAGGAGAAATTTTCATATCGTGTGGCCATTCTGTTCCACATTTTCAAAAGCTGCCAGCTGTTTTCTACAGCTGCTATACCAGTTTACATTTCCCTTGGCCATGTATGAGGGTCCCAGGGCCTCCCTGGTGGCCTAGGGGTTGAGTCTCAGCGCTGTGAGCACTGTGGCCTGAGTCCATCCCCGGCCAGGGAGTGACCCTCAGGGCGCAGCAGACCTCTCCTGTCTCCCCGCTGCCCCCCTCGGCAGTGTGTTTCAGTGGATCTGCCTGCTCTGCTCCCCACTCTGTCTCTGGGAATCCTTCCCCCCCCCACACACACACCTCTAGCCTATATTTTATGCAAAATAATGAAAAATAAATTTACATATAAACACACACGCATGGGCTCCAATTTCTCCGCTTTGCTCTCCTTGTTATTTTTGTTTTAATTAAGAATCTTCCTTAGAGCCATATGATGGGCGTGAAGCACACCCCATCATGCTTTGGGTTGGCTCCAGTGTGGTCACTGCGCTCCGGTACATGGGGAGCAGTGGCGTGAAGACCACGGCTAAGACCCAGGCTCTGCTGACTGTGGGGTCCGGCTCGGCTGCCGCTGGCCAGGTGGCCTCGTTCTAACCTGCAGTCTCAGACTGCCCAGCCCTGCCCAGCCCCACTGACAGTCACCCATCTCACAGGCTCAGTGAGATGGGAACTGCTCCAGGGGCCTCAGGAAAAGTATCATTTCCCTGCCCTCAGGGCTGGAAAGTGTCCTTCCATCCACACACCCCGCCCCCCTTAGCAAGAGCAGCAGAAGCAGAGGGCAGAACCCTGGGGCTGTCCACAGGCTTTACCTGACAATCATAGTCATTTCATCTGTGATGGGGGGGTGTGGGATCCCCTCCCCGCCCCCTGCAGAACTGCCCAAGGTTGGAATTCCAGACCATGAAAACTACACGGTGAGCCCCTCGACACTGTTGAAGTCACAGTGGCCTCCCCATTTGCATGGGGCGCCCTGTGCTCAGCATCATATCCTGACATTTACCGGTCTGTGTTTTCATTGAGCTAAATGCGACTCAGAGCAACGCTGTGGATACTCCGTGGGCAGAGCCACCGGCCCCGTGTGTGACGGAGCTTCCTTGCCTACAGGGTGATTAGCTCACTTGTTCAACCCAGGGCAGTGGTATCACCCTTGCTGATCTAAAAGATAACTCAAGATTAGTCTCCCCAGCCTACAGTTAAGAAAGAAGCACAACAGGGCTCTCCCTGGTGGCGCAGCGGGTTAAAGCACCACACTATGAAGCTCTCGGAAGCCCCTGCAGTGTGAGTTCGGTCCCCAGCCAGCGAGTGACCCCCAGGGCACAGCAGACCGCTCCTGACCTGCCCGCTGCTCCCCTCAGCAGTGGATTTCAGTGGATCCGCCTGTTCTGCTCCCCACTCTGTCTCTGGGGAATCCTCTCACTGCCCCCTGAACCTCTGGCCTGTACCCCCGCTCTGTATGTATAAATAAATAAATCTTTCTTTTTAAAAGAAAAAAAAAGCACAACAGAAACCCAATCACTGCGGAATTATTCTCCTCAAGGCCATGCACAGCTTTGTTCAGTGTGTAAAGATTTCCTAATGTTCATGTTACTGCATCGTCTTTGATAAAATCATCCTAGTAAGCTAAGGAAAATTCTGTTGCTACCGGATACATGTACATCTGAGCTAGCCTAAGGCCCACCAGTACCCTTAGCACGATTTTCATTTGCTTTGAAATACATGTCACTTTGCCATGCGCTTTTACCAGCTCATCTTTCAAACAACGAAAATGTCGCTGTTTGCCAAAAGCCCGAAAAGTCAGAGCAGAGATGGCCCCAGCCAAACCTTGACACTTTGGACGTGTCTACAACATTTTTTTCATTACATTCCAAACACCTCACTCTGAGCCCAGGAATAGATTTTTGCTTTATTTTGATGGCTGTGGGTGGAGGAGTGAATATCTCAAGTGAGTGCGCCCCGGTGCTAAATGACACG